AGCGGTACCTCTTGTAACGAAAGCCACGCGTGCAGCCTGCTTGTTCCTTTTCTTCCTTACTCGTCGAGGATCACCCCCTTTGACTGAGCCAGTTTTTCCATCCATTTTCCACCCTCCCCCTTTCCACCCCAAGCAACACGGTCCGGCGCTAGTGTCGAGCGTCGTTCCCTTTCATCTTGACGCGCGCGTGCCCTGCCCCCATCGCGAGCGGCCGATGTGCCCCATCTGTCCTCCTCCTCGTCCTCCACCTCCGCCGTTTCGTCCAAGCAGTCGTTTTGCCTCGGGCCAACAACGGTGACGGCCCTCGTGCTTCTGCCTGTCTGGTAGCACGCACGGTTTCGCGGTTAGTGAAAACGGATAGTTTGTGTTTCGTCTCGCGGGTGAGGATCGAAGTGACAAAGAAGTAAGGAAGATAAGTCGACAACGCTGGAGTGTAGAGGATTGTTCGACACGAGGGAAAGATGGACGTTACCAGCGGAATGAGGCCCATTTTCGGTGGATACCCGTTTCAAGGTTGGTACTGTTGATGATTGTCAAATTTGCTTCAGATTTTCAGATTGTTTAAATTGTTTTCAGATTTAAATTGTTTTAATTGTTTGAGAAAAAACATTCGGTTTAAAGTTTCTCTTTAGTTTTTCAAATGTTCTGGATCATTTTGTAAAATTGATTAAATATCCTATGATATATAGATTATGATGATTATCGATTAACTGTAGTAGATTATTTTGTTGTAATTAAAATACAAATAGAATAATCGATTTGACTCGATGATTCTGTATCTGATTCTGTATAAAGAACTGGTTTTTCTTAATGGTTTTTTATTATTAAAATTTTTTATTATTAAAATATATATAAGTAAGATTCACTTCGGTTATTGTTTTAGAAGAATAAAGTTGTGAAAGCTCCGGAAAAATACAGGATCTAGAAGATATTCCCTCTCTGGTGACGGATGCTTCTTTAAATAAATAAAAGAGATAAGAAATATTTTTTGTTATGTTAATTATAAGTTAAAAATAGAAAAAAAAAAAGAAAAAATAAATTTTTGAATAACTTAATCCTAATTAAGAATACAGATTGTCACAGGATAATTTCATATGTAAAAATGAATCAACAGAGAAATAACATTTTTTCATATAAAACTTCGTTTTTTAGAAAATCAAATTTTGTTAATTTTTAATACAAATAAATTATTGGTAAATTGTTATTTATATGAAAATAGGAAAAAATGTAAAATAAAATTTTTCCATAGAAAAAATCATCGAACATAGATAATTATCTTATAATTTCCAATTTTAATTAAAATTTTATTCTACATTCCTCATTTGTATATCATCGAAAATTAGCCAAATTGAATATTGAGATTTACTTAAAAAATTTTCAAATTTTATTTACTGCAAAACCTCAAAACGAAGAAATTTTATTCCTTTCTTTAATTCACCTTGCACGAGAAATCATCTTGAAACATCCTGTACAAAGATGATTTACAAAAAGCATAAAATCGGCTTTCAAAGAGTCAATAAAACCTAATTAGTTTGCTTCCGATTATTAGATAACTAGATAGATATTTATCTAGTTATATTATATATCCAATAAGGAAAAATCTTACCCATAAACATCTTCCTTAATCATTTCTTGCATGGTTTTCAGAGAAAATATTCGTTCCTTAATATAAACATACGCAATCAGGAAAAAATGGGAATACCTGTTTCAACGATGAAAAAAGTGAAAGGAATTTATGTGACATTTGCATGACACGTGCAACAATATAAAGAGTTGCTCCAGTCATGCGTAACTTCTTTTATTCAATCAGACAGAATGCCCACTATAGGTATAAGATACTGATCATTATGCATCGTAATTTTGATAAATTCATTTCCTTGCTCGTTGCACACGGTGCAAGAGCAAGAGTTCGCAAAGTTAATGTACCCACAGTGATTACTTTACCCTCGTCACTTGATAAATATTCAATATTCGATCTCTCTGAATGTTAATTAGCATTTCTATTATATCATTAGAAGAACTCTTCGTGTGGTAGAATTTTAATTAATTGTTTCGTTAGGATTCTTTACTCGTGGATACCGTACAATACAGATGTCAAAAATGTTGTTAAATATGCTGTTTACGTTTGGAAAAATATTTAGTTGTTTCTGTATTTAGAGAGTGATGAAATCTAATAGTTGTTGTCTTGAGTAGTAGTAATTGACGGAAATAAATTATAAATATAGAAATTATTCTTCATAGTAGTTTAGTAAAAAAAAAAAAAAAATTACAAAATCTATCTATCTATCTTAGCATCCACTGTTAAAATATCTTATTTAATAATGCGATGCTTGTGAAAATATGAATTTCTTAATTCTTTTGCGACTAAATTTTTTTAGACTGTGTGCAAAAAATTCCCTTTTCAATTATTATTAGTAATGAAAAGATATGTTTTTTGCAATATGTTCGAAAAACAACTTTTTACGTCAATTATTGATAATAGAACCCCTTTTTTTGTGTGTAATATAAAAAAAAGAGTTTAACTTCTAAATTTATCTACCTAATATTCTGAATATCTGAAGATTTTAAATACCTATCTGTATGTAAAGTCTAAGAATAGCGTTTATAAGATTATGCAATTATGTTAAAGAATTTTTTTCATTTTCTATCAATTCTTTCTTAAATTTTAAACCCATATATTTCAAGTAGCTGCAAATCCAACAAAACTATCGATAAAACTTATTATATAAATTTATCGTTGTTATCAATTTGAAAAAATATATCGAAATTGATAAGATTGATATTCTAAACCAGAATTTCTCTATTATCTAATTCAAATTATCCATCAGGATTCAAAATTGCTACCACCTAGGCATCATTTATTCCTCCAATGAACCACATAGCCAACAATCTCGCGATTGACATGCAAGTCCTTTGCTCTAGGAACTGTCCGATTTCCCAACACGGCACAGGCTTCGTAGCAACAATATTTTAGCAGCAGGCTTTTTCACCGCTCGTACGTATGCGAATAGAGTAAACTCGCCAGCGTCGGGTATTAGAAACCCATCATTTGCGCAATCCGTTGCACAACCCTACTAACTTTCATCCTGTGACATAAGAGACACATACTTCCCTATCTTTCAGTTTTTCTCGCATTGCATTTATTGTTACGATATAAAGATTAGTGGAAAATATTATCTTCAAATAAAACATTAAATACCTTCCTATTTTTGATCATCATTTGATAATTAATAATACGTCTGACATTTCGTAATATCATCGACAAATCTAAAGTTTTACATCGCTTTTTTTCTGCTTCGTCCTTCTTAGCCTAAATATATAATTATCGATAAGTACTGCTCTCTCGTTAAAGCGCTTCAAGCTTTTTTAAACACTTGAATGCACAATTGATTCGTTTATTTTAATAAATAAACTATAACGTGAATATGGCTAACGAAAATTCCAAAATAAAAATTTCGAGATTCAATTCATATCTCCTTATCGATTCCTCGTCTCTTTCTCAATCCATTTAGATCCATCCTCTGCTCAACGTAATTGAATATTATTTTACCCCAGAGGAAATCTACGCACGATCTCTATGAGGAATCGGAACGGATTAATTTGTATGTCTATTAATCTTCTCGGCAATAGGATCTCCAGCTATTAGACTCGTTCATCAAACTTTTGTCATTGACGGTTTATGATCGAGCCTTCACTTTTCAATTAATTTTCTCTTTTCATAAGAAAAACTGCTCGATAATGAAATTGAATCTGTGATAAAAACAGAACTTTGAATAATCGATTCGAATGATCTCGATTGAAATATAGATACAACGATGTTTTTAAATTAATTATTTAGTTACAGATCGATAGCATTCGAATCTCGCTTCCTTATTTTTTTTTTCTTCTCTTTTCTAAGATAAATGAGTGTTCTAAAAAAAGACACTTTGAAATCTTACTTAACTCTTTCGAAACAGATTTTTCTTTTGGAAACGAATAGATGTGTGTGATGATTTTTGTTCGATATCAATACACATTTTTATGAATATGATTATGAACCGAAAGAAACGAAGTTTAAATAAAGATTTACTTTATTCTGCAGATATTTTAATGCATATTATAGTTTTTGTATCTTTTGTAGATTTTTGTATAATCATTTTTTTCAAAGCAAGATAAATCTCATTTCGAATAGAATATCTAGTATATCTCGATAAATCTGTTTCTGTACTATCAAGAAAATTGTAACAAATTTAAAATCTGAATATAAATATCTAATAATGTTACAAATGCATAGATTATAATGTCTTATTAGTCTCAAAAAAAGTTAAGATGTGCTTAATTACTACATACGTAAAGCAAAATTGATTAATTTGATTTGGCATAATACATATTATAATTTAAACCAGGAAATTGTTTGATTAAAAATGATTTTAAACGATTGAAGTTTAATCTGTATGAAAATAATCCTGTTATTTCAAAAAAGTTATTATCCCGCTATTAATGAAAAGTAATTGAAAAAAAAAATGATTTCATAATAAGAGCCATCTACCATACTATTACCTCGTAATCATCTAATAATGAATTATTAAACATTGAGGGGAAGTAACTTGCACTTATAAATAATACATACAAATTCTATGATATTTTTAAAATAATATCTTATAGCAATTATATTGCATTTAAACATATCAATATCATCAGTATCTTTCGAAAGCAAGAAGCAAACACGTTCCAATGTAAATTTTCCCAAAGATCGATGGATCGTTACAATATTATTGACGCGAAACTTATAATCATATTTCTGTTTTCCAAACGATATATAAATACTTCAAATACTACACAAGAAGTAATAGAAAATGAAACGATACTTTTATTTTGCAAAAATAAAAAAAAAAATAATAAAAATAAAAAATCGAAGTAACCGACGATCGAATGATCGATTATCTACTGTGATATCGAAGCTTGAAACTATGATTCGTATCCCTGTATCCCTGATTGAGACGTTCACGTTCCACGAATCGAATGCATAAAGACTGATGAAATGTTCTCGACAGGACAGGGACGTATGAATCAATTGGGAGGCGTTTTCATCAACGGCCGACCTCTTCCGAATCACATACGGCTGAAAATCGTCGAAATGGCAGCGGCTGGTGTTCGTCCCTGCGTGATCTCGCGGCAGCTTCGCGTTTCTCACGGATGCGTTTCGAAAATTTTGAATCGGTATCAGGAGACCGGTTCCATAAGACCGGGAGTGATTGGTGGTAGCAAGCCGAGGGTAGCAACCCCTGAGATCGAGGCGAGGATAGAGGAGATGAAGAGGGACAATCCCGGAATTTTCTCGTGGGAAATAAGGGAAAAACTGGTGAAGGTAAGAAACTGATGATTTTTCTTGAATTCTTACATAGAATATATAATTTAATATAAGGGAATTAATAGATAGGTACATTTTTAAAATCGATTAACTATTTATCTATCTATATTGATTTCATTTTATTTTAAAGATCATACTAAATATTTTAGGAGTATTTTGCAAAACATCATAATCGTTTAGATATCTCACTAGAGAGATGTAAGATCTTAATATGCCATTATCAGATCGAAATTTATGTCGTAATTCAATCACGAAATTTGATGAAATTGAAAATTGCAACGATTAAAGGAAAAACTTGATTCAACCTCGAAAAATGTCGATATTTTTAGAGCGTGCTCTGTATGTTTTACAAATAAATAAATGCATAAGCATCCAAAACTTATCAATTTTCCACTGCAGAGAAAAACATCATCGTTCAATATCTTGCATTCAATTGCAATCTAACATTGATACTTGAATTTTAAACAAAAATAAAATATTCACTCCAATTCCTTTGAATATTTTACATCTTCTTCCTTGTATCTCATAAGTGTTTTTAATCTACTTATCAAATTCAAAAAATTTTCGTAACATTCTCTCCAACCAGATGAATGAATAAATTTCGAGGGCGCGGTTTTCCACTTGGAGGAAAACATGGAAAGGCGTCGTCGCCCTCTCGATCGGGGGTGGACGTTTCCGCAGGGTCCCCATATCTCTCGAAAGATCGCGAGTGAGTGGGGCTTTTTAATCTTGTGCACGAGGCGTGCACAAGGTGGGCAGGGGTGTACGTGAGCGCCCCGAGGCGACTCGCGTGTCCTTTAATACGTTACTGGCCGCCGCCTACACCCACGCCTCATTGGCGTAACGCTCCCTCGTTCGTGCCGCGATTTTCGAGTATGCAAAACGACTTTTCCAAGAATAGCTTTCTTCCGTGTACGGCCGTTTTATCTCGACACCTTGAAAAATCGTAAGCATCGGCCGGGAACAACCATGGATACGGCTGAAACTCTCGCTCAGGATAATAATTTTCTGAGGATGGATGCTCGATAGGCGATTAGAAAAATCGTGATAATGGAAAGGCGTGAACGAGATGCACGAGCTATTAATCATTTCTTCCCAAAGGGGAGACAGTGGAGACAGTAATGATCGTGTTGTAATTGGAATTGTTTAAAAGAATTATTTCCTACTTGAAGAATTAAAATTGAGAATTTCTAATTGAACTTTTCTGATTGTTAAAAACCTTTATTTTATTTTTAGAAGTAGATTTTACTAATTTTCTATCGAACGGATTTTATTTTGTCATCAATTTTAATCCGTTTTATAAATCCAATCTAATTTCTTTCAATCAAGATATTTGGATATAATAGCTGCTACGAAACAAATTTTGATATATCTCTTCCACGACGAAGGATCATCATGGATTTCATCTCTTTAAAATCATGATTAATCAGATTTAAGGATAAAAATATTGGAAAAAAGTGAAAAGTCTTATTTACAATGTAGATTACATATTTGATAGAAAGATTCTATGATACTTGGCACCAACATAAAACTTTTGATAAAGTAAAAATAAAAGGCGCATATCCTGCACCAATGGGCAACCTTGTCTTCCTTTCATCGCCTCTCATTCTCCCATTATTTACATACGAAATAAAGCAACAAAATTCGTTCATAGTTCAATCTAACCAATTAATCATACGCGCATCTCGTGAAACCCTATAAATTCTCGAAATTAAAATTTCATATTTTGACTCCGCACCATCCCCACCCTCTTCAAATTTCGCATCATCGATCGGCCACCGATCGGTCCCAACAAAATCAACAGGGACCCAATAAAACGAATAGAATCGATAAAACCGATCCACGATGGAACCGATCCACGTGGTACAACCCCAAAGCCGATCCTCGATAAAGAGATAAATCCTTGGAGACTGGAAGAGGAGAGGAACGGTCCATCTCGAGGCGCGGGAAAGACAAAGAGGGGCGTAGAAGGGCACAAGAGGCCGCGCGTGGAGGCAAGCGGAGAGGCGGAGGACGAAAGAGGAAAAACGGTTCGTGAACGCGTACGCCGTTGCAGAGAGAGTCGTGGAAGCAAGGCGGTCGTGGCCGGCATTAATACGGCATTTAATGTTGGAAGGGGGCGTTCCTGGGCCCGTAGGACCCGGGGCGGCATCCATCCTCCTCTATCCATCGCACCAGCGCCGTTCTCCTCGCGTTAACCGACAGAGAGGTCCGTCTTTCTCGCTGCTGTCATCGCCCTGGACCCAAAGCCTCGACCGCCACCAACGGGCACAAGGATCGTTATTGTTTCTGAGATCGCCGATCCGAAAGATAGCCATCGACACCGACGACCCCCTTTTTTTTCCACCACTCTTCCACCCCCTCTCAGTCAGTGTACCCCTAGTTGGTCCACTTTTATCTCTCGTCAGGCGTGTCTTCCTTTTTTTTTTTTTCTTTTTCCTTCTGATCCTCGTCGAACGCGTAGAGACACGATTCTTTCGTCTCCGCCTGGGGGATATTCTACATTTTTATTCCTTTTTTTGTTTTTTTTGATTCTTTTGATTTTTCTGATTCATGATAAGTAGCCATCTTACCACCACCGATTTTCTCGATTTTCTCTCGAGAAGTCTCTTTTATCCGGATAAAATTTTAAAATTTATTCGATGATCGTTCGAAGAACGATTGTTCGATGAGATAAGGGGAGAGGGATAAGAGGAGATATAGAGATTGGAGATTTTCACAGATTTTCAGGATGATTTATGTGAAAATAATGGATTGTGAAATTTATCTCATTGGTAAAGAAATGAAGATATTTTTTTTTTTAATTAACAATTGATTAGATTAGATTGTTAACTATAAGTTAAAGCGATTTTTTGGATTTCTTCATTTGCTATTATTAATCGGTTCTATATTTAATTGGTTTCTATTTTATTGTATGTATATTCTTGATTTATTGACGTTTATATAGACCAGTAGCGATGCAATTAGAATATTAATTTGTTTTTACGAATTTTTTTATCTCATTTAATTTTCTCGGTGCTCGTAAAACTTCTATTAGATCTGATTGGATTCCAGTATTGAGTATAATATCGTGGGTTTGTGTTGAGCAATTGACAAAAAAAAATACTTTTATTTTGCAAATAATTGTACAGTTTCAAGAAATATTATATTAATATTCTTGGAAAAATTTCAAATTCTGAAATCTCGAAACGCAGATATGTAATTATAAATATACATAATTTACAAGAATATTTTAAATTATTTGAGATTAAAATATAAATAATAATTATGAAAAACGAAGAATAAACATATAGAAAATTCCTCATTCGTAATATTTCCCTATTAATTTAAAGTCTACTGTAGTTAACATTCAATGTTTGTTTATAATTTCAAGTAATTGTAAAAATCTTTTACAATTTTTAATTTATTTATTTGTTGTTAATATTTTTTTTGAAAAATTTTTCGATAAAATTCAATACAACTTCAATATTAAAATTTTATCTACATAACTTATCTAAAAATTTTTAAATTTCACAAACGTACCTATGTTCCAAACCTAAATATAATCTTTGCTTCTAAAAATCAACGATTTCTTCATTCAGTGTTAAGCAAAACAACTGCACCCAATAATAGAAAATGCTAATAAAAGGAATTTGTCCAGAAACGAATTCGAGACGCGTATACAATTTCCAAACTATTCATGTTGTCAACTTTTTCGGGCAAATCTATTCAGTTTCTCGCACGACAAAAAAAAAAAAAAAGGGAAAAAAAGAAATAAATAAAAAGACTTCGCGATCTACCTAACCGTACTATCGAAGAATTCAAGCGTAGTAAATACTTGTGCGCATAACGGTGCACAACACGATGTATAATAAGGCTGAATCTCAGCAGCGCAAAATGTATATTTTACTTTGAAAATGATCGCGCGAAATTGTAGTGCAGTAGGGTGCATTTGCAAATCGCAAATGCCAGGCAAAGTGCAACCTACGATGCGCCGGCAGCGAACTCGTGTTGTCTCCACATATGTTTTTTTCTTCTCTATTTAAAAGAGATTTAATAGTTTAAAAAAATAACATCTGTTTAAAGGCAAAAGCAGAAAGATTAATGTCAATTATTAATTATTTTATATACTTTTCTAATATCGTTTTTTAATTTTTCTAATTAATTAATAGCAAGAAAATTTGAACAACGTAGAAAAGTGAAAGATGCATCCTTTGGCTTCTTAAAAATTTATTTTTGACCAGATGTATTTGATCCAACTAAATTTCAATAAACATTAATCCAAAAAATGAGTTTTGAAAGAAAGTTACTTTCTTTTTACATGAATATTTCGTTTGAACAGGAAGGTTTCACGGATCCTCCAAGTGTTAGCTCCATCAGCAGATTACTTCGCGGTGGACGACCTGGTGACGATGGAAAAAAAGATTACACCATCGATGGAATATTAGGCGGGGGTGAGTACAAAATGACAATTTTACGTATTAATATCGAACCACGATTATTCGACAATTAATATCTTCATCAATACAACGAGGAAACTTTTTTTTAATGTTTCTCGACAAATTTAGGATTTATTTTTTAAAACTATCGATTATTGATTTAAATTAATCTTATGTTATAATACAAAAAATAAAAACCTTAACATGGCCTCAAAAATTCGCAACCTCACATACAGAACAACTTCCAAACCTCTTAATTCCAAAAATTAGTATCACCATTTTTTATTCTACACTTCAACAATCTGTATAAAAAAGAAACAAAAAACAGTCATCAAAAATTTTAACATCCCTTTCCAAAAGTTTTCAAATTAACTTTTGGAAACGTCTTACTATAACAATAAACGAAAATTTTCTCATCCAACGAAAAATCTTAAAAATTCCACGACGTTTCAAAACATATAACCCAAACGTCATCTTCTCTTCTTCATCTCTTCGACGACGTCGCACGACGTCGCGCGTCATCGAGGCGTTAATTATTCATTCCCACGGGGGTGAAAAACGCGAATGAATAGAAATGAAGGCCAAGAAGCGATCACGAATTGTGGGAAAAGAAAAAGAAAGGCGATATCGCGAGCGAAAAAAGAAGAAAAGGAAGAGACCCATCGTCGGGGAGGCAAGAGCTTTTAACCTCTCGTATCTGAGAACGAAGTTTGACGTACGCGAGCGTGTGTACGGGACTTTAAGATCCTACGTCGTCGGTTAGGCGAACGTTAGTCCGAATGAGCCGGGAAGCCTTCAGGATTTAATCTTCGGTGGGCGTGAGCAGGATTAGCCAGGTTGCCCACACGTCCGACAAACGGATTACAGGAGTGTCAATATCTTACGGGGCACGCATTATCCCTCTTCTCCTTCTTCTTCTTCGTCTTTTCCTTCTTGTCTTGTTGTTCTCGTTTCCTTAGTCTTCTGGTTTGCCTTTTTCTCATTTCATTCCGCGGGCAGCGTGGATCCTTTTTAGTGACTTCCTTCTTGAATTCTTGCGAAGAATTTATTTATTTTTTTTCTTTCTTTCTTTTGGCGAAATGGAGCAGAGAGTGTTCGATGAATGAGATAATAAGATGATGAGGAATGGACAAGTGAAATATCTGAAGAATTATAATTAGATTTTGGACAATTTTATTATTCAAGTTTATTTATATGGTATCTCGAGAAGAAATTTATGTTATACGTTTGAATTTAAATTAATTGAAAATTATCTAATTTCAAATTACCATGTCCAATTCCGAGGAAAAAATAACAATAGGATAAAATGGCGTTCTCTAAAAGTTAAATTATATAACATCGTGGAGCTATTGATGCTTTTATATGCTGTCATAAAAAATAACCTACATCAAAGAGATTATATAACATCATTTATAAAAAAAATAAGAAATTATCTAAACAAATATTTCCCAATACAATGATAAGGAAAATTCCTTTCTGGATCAGGTATCAAAAAACCAGTCTACATTAAAAAAAAAAGCTAATATCAATTGTTAAAGATATTAATGTTATTAAACGATCCAATATCGAATGTTAGATAGATTGAATCTATCATTACTGGAAAGATCAATTGCCAATCATCAAGAAGACTTAGAAACTATCTACTCTAATATTTCCTCAACGATCAACAAAAAATTCTTCATTTTCAAAAAAAGAAATATCTATCACCAACAAACCTGATACACATTCAATATTCGATCGATAAAAATTTCAAGAGTGTCGAAAAAAATCACTATTAATCCTGAAAATCATTGAAATTCATCCAAACAATCCACCATTCCCCATCGATAAAAATTCCTCAACCAACCATCGAACAGCACAATCCCGATTGCTAAGCGACAACGAGTCACTGCCCGTTGACACGAGGCGGGAATTTGTTTTCGTGAGTGATACAGGTAGACAAGGAGGAATTAGCGGTACAGGTGTTCCGAAGTCTTAAAAAGTCTGACCGTTCTGGCGCGTTGCCGCGGTCAAGAAGGGGAGAAGAGAGAGAAAGAGAGAAGAGAGAGAGAGAGAGAGAGAGAGAGAGAGAGAGAGAGAGAGAGAGAGTA